TGAGGACAGAGAGCAGATAAAAGCCTCCCACGAAAGGAGCCAGTGGTAGAGGCTCAAGAAAGGAGTTGCAGCAGGAACGGGCTGGATCAAAACAGGAGAATGCAAGAGCTGCAAAGAGGTGTTTTCAATAAGATAAAACTCTAATTCTTATCAAATGTCTTATCTTTTTTTTTTCTTTTTTTGAGAGGTTTTTGCCATAGGGTGCGTGCACTTGCCAGAATAACAGAGAGAGACAGAGAGACTGAAAGCGAGAAATCACCCCCTAGGAGGGATGGCCACGTCGCAATCCCTTCTCCTCCATTCTCCTCCCAGGATCTTGGGCACACACGCAAACGCGCCCGGCCTGAGTTTAAATCACTGGGTCCAGGACTCGAACCACGGTTGACTACATGGCAGTCCAGCAACACAGCCATTACGCTAACTGCTAGTCCCAAAATGTCTTATCTTTTAAGTACATATTTCAAACTACATAAAAGTAAAGAGAAAAGTATAACGACCCACTATTTATGCTTTATGCAATTTTAAATATGATTCAGTATTTTATTAATCTTTTCGTATCTTCCCATCTTTCCAAGGAAAGGAAAGGAGAAACCACTTTAAAGCAGATTGATGTCTTTTTATCATATTTTAGTTTGCGTTCATTCATAAAAGCAATTATTTTTTTACACAACTGTAAATTATTGTCTCACCAGAGTTTAAAAGTTAATTCCTTACCATCATCCAAGAAAGGCACATTTTATTTAAATAATTTGAAATCTTCAAGAACTATGTCATTGATTCCTTTTTAAAATAATTATTTGTTTAATTTTTATTTATTATTATCGTTATTATTATTTTTTTTTAATTTGCCGTGGGACACTTGTACTCAGCAGAGACAGACAGAGAGAGAAAGTGAGAAAGTAAGTTGCCAGGTCCAGGCCTTTAACTGTGGTCGGTCATGTGGGAGTCCAGCGCCCCAGCTACCATGCCATCTGCTGGCCCCCCAGTGATACCTTTTAATTGCCTAGAAATTAGCTCTAACTCCAAGGGCTTCCTTGGGAAGTGAGTAGAGTGTTGTGAGGAGATACTAAAATGTTCTTTTTTTTAATTTTTTTTATTTAAATTTATTTTTTTATGTTCATTCACTGTACATCATTACTACATCCAAAATGAGATTTTCCATCCAGAGTACACTGTATATTGTCTCAATCAAGTACATCAACATACATGTTATTGTCAACAAATAATTTTCCATTTCTTGTTTCCTGTATATTTTGCTTTTTGCTTCTCCTCTAAGGCATATGATGAGATTTGATGGTAGGTTGTGCTTTTGTCAATGATTCAGTTATCCCCTGGGGAGAGCTGCAAAGAGGTGTTTTCAATAAGATAAAACTCTAATTCTTATCAAATGTCTTATCTTTTTTTTTTCTTTTTTTGAGAGGTTTTTGCCATAGGGTGCGTGCACTTGCCAGAATAACAGAGAGAGACAGAGAGACTGAAAGCGAGAAATCACCCCCTAGGAGGGATGGCCACGTCGCAATCCCTTCTCCTCCATTCTCCTCCCAGGATCTTGGGCACACACGCAAACGCGCCCGGCCTGAGTTTAAATCACTGGGTCCAGGACTCGAACCATGGTCGACTACATGGCAGTCCAGCAACACAGCCATTACGCTAACTGCTAGTCCCAAAATGTCTTATCTTTTAAGTACATATTTCAAACTACATAAAAGTAAAGAGAAAAGTATAACGACCCACTATTTATGCTTTATGCAATTTTAAATATGATTCAGTATTTTATTAATCTTTTCGTATCTTCCCATCTTTCCAAGGAAAGGAAAGGAGAAACCACTTTAAAGCAGATTGATGTCTTTTTATCATATTTTAGTTTGCGTTCATTCATAAAAGCAATTATTTTTTTACACAACTGTAAATTATTGTCTCACCAGAGTTTAAAAGTTAATTCCTTACCATCATCCAAGAAAGGCACATTTTATTTAAATAATTTGAAATCTTCAAGAACTATGTCATTGATTCCTTTTTAAAATAATTATTTGTTTAATTTTTATTTATTATTATCGTTATTATTATTTTTTTTTAATTTGCCGTGGGACACTTGTACTCAGCAGAGACAGACAGAGAGAGAAAGTGAGAAAGTAAGTTGCCAGGTCCAGGCCTTTAACTGTGGTCGGTCATGTGGGAGTCCAGCGCCCCAGCTACCATGCCATCTGCTGGCCCCCCAGTGATACCTTTTAATTGCCTAGAAATTAGCTCTAACTCCAAGGGCTTCCTTGGGAAGTGAGTAGAGTGTTGTGAGGAGATACTAAAATGTTCTTTTTTTTAATTTTTTTTATTTAAATTTATTTTTTTATGTTCATTCACTGTACATCATTACTACATCCAAAATGAGATTTTCCATCCAGAGTACACTGTATATTGTCTCAATCAAGTACATCAACATACATGTTATTGTCAACAAATAATTTTCCATTTCTTGTTTCCTGTATATTTTGCTTTTTGCTTCTCCTCTAAGGCATATGATGAGATTTGATGGTAGGTTGTGCTTTTGTCAATGATTCAGTTATCCCCTGGGAATAGCAACTGAAATCTTCCATTGGACTTCCTATCTCTAAGACATATGAATCAAATATATTCAAAGATACTCTTACAGTTTTGCCCCCTCTGATACACATGCCATTCAACTCTCTCTTCCAGAGCAGCAGTCCTCAACCAGAACATATGTTCTCTCTGGGGACATCTTTGATTGTCACAACCTTGGTGAGGCAGAAGCTACTAGTATCTTGTGGCAAGAAGACAGATATACACAGAACAAAGGCTTAGCCTGCCCAAAAAGGCAATCATGCCAGGGCCAAGGCTGAGAAACCCTGTGTCAGAGGAACGGCATATTCCAGAGGAGAAGCACGCCTTTCATCTGTTGTTACATCATGTATTTGTGTACAAGGTTGCGGTTAGGAGTTTTCCTCATTTCATTAGAGAGAGGTTAATGTCCCTGTAGGCATTTTTCCTTTGATCTTCTGCAAACCTAAGCTGGGTTTGGCCAGATCTTTCAACCTACCAAATGTCATTCCAGTTTACATTTTCTTTGTGTTCTTGGACTCTAGCAGAGCACGCAAGTGATTTGATTTCTTTGAGTAGGAGATTTAAGGTGGAGTTCACTTTTTGAAGACATCATGTTCTGAGCAAACTTCTCTCTCTCTTGAAAGGTGACAGTAGCTTGGGGGTGCTATTTAACAAGCAGGTGGGAGCTTGTTAAATCAAGATGTAATCTGTATTTTTTCAACCAGATTTGAAAACGATAGTAGAGAGTATAAGTGTAGATACCAGAGACCATAAGGGAGGGAAGCAGGTGATAGAGAGGGGGTGGTAGAGGATTAGTGGGAGGGGCAAAGGAAAAAATATTTAACAGACGAAGGAGTATAGAGTTTTCTGTAAAAAAAAAAAGTCTGCAATTTTTGCTTTAGAAAAATTAAAATTAAAAAAATAATTTTTATTTATTATTATCGTTATTATTATTTTTTTTTAATTTGCCGTGGGACACTTGTACTCAGCAGAGACAGACAGAGAGAGAAAGTGAGAAAGTAAGTTGCCAGGTCCAGGCCTTTAACTGTGGTCGGTCATGTGGGAGTCCAGCGCCCCAGCTACCATGCCATCTGCTGGCCCCCCAGTGATACCTTTTAATTGCCTAGAAATTAGCTCTAACTCCAAGGGCTTCCTTGGGAAGTGAGTAGAGTGTTGTGAGGAGATACTAAAATGTTCTTTTTTTTAATTTTTTTTATTTAAATTTATTTTTTTATGTTCATTCACTGTACATCATTACTACATCCAAAATGAGATTTTCCATCCAGAGTACACTGTATATTGTCTCAATCAAGTACATCAACATACATGTTATTGTCAACAAATAATTTTCCATTTCTTGTTTCCTGTATATTTTGCTTTTTGCTTCTCCTCTAAGGCATATGATGAGATTTGATGGTAGGTTGTGCTTTTGTCAATGATTCAGTTATCCCCTGGGAATAGCAACTGAAATCTTCCATTGGACTTCCTATCTCTAAGACATATGAATCAAATATATTCAAAGATACTCTTACAGTTTTGCCCCCTCTGATACACATGCCATTCAACTCTCTCTTCCAGAGCAGCAGTCCTCAACCAGAACATATGTTCTCTCTGGGGACATCTTTGATTGTCACAACCTTGGTGAGGCAGAAGCTACTAGTATCTTGTGGCAAGAAGACAGATATACACAGAACAAAGGCTTAGCCTGCCCAAAAAGGCAATCATGCCAGGGCCAAGGCTGAGAAACCCTGTGTCAGAGGAACGGCATATTCCAGAGGAGAAGCACGCCTTTCATCTGTTGTTACATCATGTATTTGTGTACAAGGTTGCGGTTAGGAGTTTTCCTCATTTCATTAGAGAGAGGTTAATGTCCCTGTAGGCATTTTTCCTTTGATCTTCTGCAAACCTAAGCTGGGTTTGGCCAGATCTTTCAACCTACCAAATGTCATTCCAGTTTACATTTTCTTTGTGTTCTTGGACTCTAGCAGAGCACGCAAGTGATTTGATTTCTTTGAGTAGGAGATTTAAGGTGGAGTTCACTTTTTGAAGACATCATGTTCTGAGCAAACTTCTCTCTCTCTTGAAAGGTGACAGTAGCTTGGGGGTGCTATTTAACAAGCAGGTGGGAGCTTGTTAAATCAAGATGTAATCTGTATTTTTTCAACCAGATTTGAAAACGATAGTAGAGAGTATAAGTGTAGATACCAGAGACCATAAGGGAGGGAAGCAGGTGATAGAGAGGGGGTGGTAGAGGATTAGTGGGAGGGGCAAAGGAAAAAATATTTAACAGACGAAGGAGTATAGAGTTTTCTGTAAAAAAAAAAAGTCTGCAATTTTTGCTTTAGAAAAATTAAAATTAAAAAAAGAAAAAGGTGAACAGTCATTTGTATAGTAGTAATTAAGTGAAAAACATCAGTTAAGTATTTCACTTCCTTTATTTGTAGGAAATACAACTGGAGCATGCAAAACAAGCCTTTGTGCAACGAGACAATGCCAAGACTGGAAGAGTCACAGCCATTGACTTCCGAGACATCATGGTTACCATCCGTCCCCATGTCCTGACACCATTTGTAGAAGACTGCCTAGTAGCTGTAAGTCGTAACTTGTCCTAATGAAGAGTTTATTCTACCTGTTCAAATTCTATAAATAAGAGAGTAGAAAAATCATTTTTATATATTCTCTAAGAGGTTTTTTATATTTGTTTATTAAAAACATTAACATTTTTAAAAACATAATTGTATAGATTATCAAATTTACAAAGAATGTGTTTGGGCTAGTTTTGTATTGTTTTGTTTTGGAGAGGTTTTTGCTGTAGGGCGCATGCGCTCGCTAGAAAGACAGAGAGAGACAGAGAGATAGAAAGCAAGAAATCACCCCCCAGGGGGGATGGCCACGCAACAATCGCTTCTCCTCCATTCTCCTCCCGGGATCTTGGGCACGCACGCACGGCGTGAGTTTAAGCCACCGGGTCTGGGACTCGAACCGCAGTCGACAACATGGGAGCCCAGCAACATAGCCATTATGCTAACTGCTGGTCCCCTGGGCTAGTTTTACTGGGTAGTTCAATTTGTTGTCTGGATAAGACAAAGAGTCTTCAAAAACCTCATGGAAATGCATATTATGAAAAACTATGCACAGAATTCAGATTGTGTGTGTATGCCAATATAAACTCATACTTAAATTCCATTTTCCACAAACTCTTTGAAGTTCTCACATATAGAATATCTTAGATAAATGTATTAACTGGTTAAAGAAACAGGGAAAATCAAATATGTAATCTCATGTTAATTCTGCTGTATATGATGAGGTATGTCAATTGTTGATTTTTGCTAATCTTGTTTATTCTCCAAGTCAAAAAAAATCACAAAACTTTGCACACATATATTGCTGTTAGAGAACAGGAACTCTCACCCTCAGATTCACTTGTTCACTCGCCATCCATGTGTCGTGATTACAATAGCATGCAAGGATCACAGAGCATTCCTCCTAGTGGATTTCAACTGCTCTCCTCATTTCATCAACTCAAGGGCTGTCCTGCCACATTCTGTGGTAGTGATTCTCAAGACTTTGTGATCAAACATCAGAATCAACATGGATAACAGAATCTCAGTGGGTTTTTTTGTTTTGTTTTGTTTTGTTTTTTGACTCTAGGGTACATGTACTCACCAGATGGAGAGAAAGTGGGAAATCATCCCCCTGGGAAGGTGATCACTCCACAATCTCTTCTCCTCCATTCTCCTGTCAGAATTTTGGGCCTGTGTATATATATGCCCAGTGAGTTTTCCAGGAGGTCACTGGGTCCAAGACTTGAACCACATAATCAGCCATGTGGGGTCTAGCCACCTTAACCTCTATGCCACTTGCTGGCCCTCTAAGGTCTTTTCTAGGCCTGTGATTCACCATCTTTAGGTAATGAGGCATTAGAGTCTAATCCCAGAAGTGTCTAGATGCTTCTGATGGGCACTGAGATTTGAGACCATTATTCAGTGGTAACTCTTCTTTCACTAGTCCCAGGAAGAAGACACTGTTTTCACCATCCTTTGGGTTTCCCGTAGTGCTTAGCATGGCAGGAACTCAGAGGAACCTCTTGGTTCTACATTTTTTTATCCCCCTGGTGCCTCATTCTGGAGACTGACTTTCTCACACCACCATTTCCACTCTGACACTGTTGATCTAACTCCCTTTCTTGACTTCCCTTTCCTACTCCATACTGAACTCTCACGTCAACTATTTTAATTGATTACTAAGTGAAAATTTATGTGTTGTTACCTTATAAAGAAGTGCTTTCCTCATAAAAAAGATTTTGTCTTGTTAAGAAAGGATAGAATTTGAAACCCCAAACTGAAGTTTCATTCATAGTGGACATACTGTCTGTTTCCCTTGTCCCCTGGGAAGAAATACGGTTTCTTAAAAATTTTGATTATCAGAATTCCAACCAGTCTTAACCCCCATCAAAGTATATGACATCTCATAATTTTACCATAATATGCTTTTTTGCTAGAAGTACCACCAATGTAATGTCTGTATTTAAATGATTATTTATTGCCAGTTATAAATACCATGACATGCCTTGATATTAATGTTAGATTGACTACTTTTCTAGTGTGTTTGCACCAATAGAATTTTGCATGAATAAGTACATGCATGTGTGCACGTGTATAGTTTTGCATGTATAAGCCCTTAAGATTTGCTCATTAGATGAAATAAACCAACTTATAAAACATTTCCAATTGAAACTTGAACTCTGTAAATTACTACTGGTCCTGTTGTTATAATCCTACACATGCATTTATTTAGTTTCTGGAGTTGTGGGTGGAGAGTACAAGTTCTGGTCATGATTAGTTGCAGTTCTTTCTTAAAAAAATTATAACATTTTTAATGTGAAAGAAAAATACTTATGTTGATTTCTTCTTATATATGTATTTTTGAGTATTTCCACACTACATTCAATACACATATCTCTGAATCTTCTTCATTTATAAATCTTCTGTTTATTTTTTTCTTCTTTCTCTTATTTTCAACCTATTTGAGGCTGCTGGAGGTACCACATCCCATCAAGTTAGTTTCTCCTACTTTAATGGATTTAATTCACTCTTAAACAACATGGAGCTCATTAGAAAGATCTACAGCACTCTGGCCGGCCACAGGAAAGATGTCGAGGTGACTAAGGGTGAGTGAGAATACATCTAATATTTTGTCTGTAAGTATCCTGGTATCTTCTTATTAGAGTGAGGAAAACAACCAGGAGTTTATGGTGTAGATTTTTCTATCCCACTCACATGTTAACCGTATGGTACATGTGTGTTGTCTATCATTTGATCAGACAAGCAAAAGCAGATAACAAGGTTATCTTCACCAAGGTTTATATAAACTGAATTCGGTCTTTGAATGAGGAAAACATGGAAGTCCCTTAAATGCTTTTCAATTCTTACTAAAACTTGAGCTAAATTGACAGCCACTGATGTGGGCTCCTAAAGTATTAATACATAAGAATTCAGTAAACTTATATTGATGACAGTGTGAGTTGGTCTATAGGCTCAGAACAAGACATTATCAGTATTACAATGGAATTTTTAAAAATATATAAAAACAGAGAATTCCCTTGGACATGCCAAAGAGTTCCATTTATATAAACTCCTGGGACCTATGCATATAACGTTTCATATATGCTTGCTTATTTTCCTTGACCTGTAATGTGAATAAAATAATATCCTGTGTCATTTATTCAGAGCCTTCAAATGGCACCAAACTTTTAAACCAAGTGTTAAGGAAAATATTGTGACACTCCTTCCAAATGAGTGAGAGGATTGCAAAAAGTCTTACCCTATTTGAATTGACTTGATTCTCTGGCTGATGATAACGTTTGGTGATGGTCACCCATTCCAGTGCCTTGAGTGAATGCTGAATTGAGTGGCTATTTCATCTTAAATCTTTCCCTTTTAACTTTTTTTTTTTTCCATACAGAGGAGTTTGTTCTGGCAGCTCAGAAATTTGGTCAGGTTACACCCATGGAGGTTGACATCTTGTTTCAGTTAGCAGATTTATATGAGCCAAGGGGGTAAGCTGGCTTTCTTGCTTTTTTTCTTTCTTTCTTTTTTTTTTTTTTTTTTTTTTTTTTTTTTTTTTTTTTTTTTTTTTTTTTTTTTTTAATTAGCTTGATAAAAGGAATTAAGTAGAGGTGGGGGTATAGGAGGACAGAAATCAGGAGAAAAAGAAGCCAAATTAAATATGATGCTAAAATATAGGAAACAAAAGTGGGAACACTGTAAAATTACATTTAAGTTGTAACACATCGCTGTTTTTGTGGTTGTTTATGTTTGTTTTTCCCTCCAGACGTATGACCCTTGCAGACATTGAACGGATTGCTCCCCTGGAAGAGGGAACTCTGCCGTTCAACTTGGCCGAAGCCCAGAGGCAGGTGAGCAAAGATGACCTTCCTGCTATTTCCTTAGTGGGATGTCCCCAGGTCCTTTTCCCTTGCAGTTGCTTTTGGCCTGGTATCTGACCTGTCCCTTTTCCATTGTGCGCCAAAAATTCAAACAATTTCAAACAGAAAGGAGATGTTCTGATGAATACACATTGGGCATTCGTTTGTTGCTTTCAAAGATGGGACAATTTCCTAACTGCACTGGAAGGAAGCCTCGCACTCCACACACAGGCAGAAAATCTTTCCTACTTCGCTTCCTAAATCTCATGTGAGCAGTGTGGGGATGGAGCCCTGGCTGGGGACAGCATCCCCATCAGCAGCCCTGCACTGCTGAATGAAAGCCGTATTTGCTCCATAGAGAGACACTTTGTCAGCACATTGTCTAACTGCCATGCCTTCCGTTTTTCTGAATATCAAAATGAGATAATTTTGTTTAGTCTGGAGTCATAGTTTGAAGGCTTTTAGACCTATTTTCTCTGTGAATGGATTCATAAGTTATGTGGAAACAATTTTAGGAATGTTAAATTTTATTTTATGGTTAATAGAAACCAATCTCTTGGAGTTGCCTGGTTCCAGAAACTGAAGACTTCAGATCTCCTCATTTAACTCTTGGTCAACTTTTTGTAGATGAGGGTTAGAGAAGAAAAGCCTTTAAAGCATGTGTTGTGCATACATGGTGTTTGTAAAATAAATCTACTCACAGACGAGCGTCGTTTTTAGAAAAATACCTCCTTTAAGGCAAAGCCACCTCTGAGTCCTGTGAGACTTAACAGTTTTTGGCATGGAGCTCTGGGTTTGTACAGAGACGCCAGTTTGACCACAATGGGTTGATGCGGGCTACATTTTTAGGACTGTCAGGCTTCAAGCCAGGACCCCCCTCCTTTAGCTCTCTCCCACCCCAGTGCAGCGGTGAATTTTGTGTGCAGTCAAAGTAGTGGGTGTGTGTTCAGTAAATCCTAACTAGGCACCTCTGGAAAACCAGCTGGCCACAGTTAAAAGAGGAAGCCGATTCCCCTGAGTGCAGGAGAAAGAACTGTGTAGTCACGTGCAAAGACAGGAAAGACATCGCTCTCCCCTCCCTTTGATTTTAAACAGTGCTTACAAGATGATTATCTCCTTGCCTGTGTGCCACCAGCTATCGTAGAAATTTGGGGATTAAGAAAAGGAGAGAAGTTATTTTATTTTATTTTGTTAGATTCCTCCAGCTCTCCAGCTGGCAGTGGCATCTCAGGATTTTTCCGTTGAGCCCTGGCAGCTTCTGAGAGTTTGCGATGGGCGCTTGTTGATAACTGGCCACGAAAGGGTTACACTAGACTGAGAAGATTTACAGCAGGAAATGATTGGCTGCTGCTTAGAGGTTTAGGGCAGTTCACAGTGGCCTTGCCTGGAATCTGGATTTGTACTTCATGAACCCCAGTGGGCCAAATTCCAGTAAGGGAGATCATGCACCTGTGGGCCAGGGGTGCCTGCTCCAGTACCTTACAGCCCTGGTCTAATAAAAGCCTGAGGCTTCGTTTGTCTTTATATGCGGAATCACTAGTATTTGTAGGTTTCTCCTCCCAGTATTTTCACTCATTATTTTGACTCTAGAATATTTCTAAGTATTGTGTATTTGTATCCATGTAAATAAAATAGTGCTTCTCTTTGGGATGTGTCTGTCAAAATGAAGGTAGTATTGATTTCCATCTATATAAGGGTGGAATTAGAAACAACACATAGAATTTGGAGCAGAAATGTTTTTACATTCTAAAAGATGCATATTTCTATGTAAAGCTATTTTCAGTTAAATGACTTTGAAGGAGATTCCCAATGATCTCATTGTATTAAAATTGTGTTACTTTGACAGCAACTAAAATCCAGTGGGTTGATAGCTGGGATTGGTGATTATTTTCATTGTTCACTGATTTTAATTATCATGGTTTTTGAAAAACAAATTTCATTGGATGTATTTATTCATTCAACAGGTATTTATTAAGCACTGACTAAATGTCACCCTCATTTGACAACTCTGTGTGACATAAAATTACTATTTTATTCATGCAGGTAGAGATTTGCAATATTCTGAAATGTTCTGGCATCGAAAACACTGTAAGGATAATAGGTCGAAAGAACAATAACAAAGCAACTGAATGACTTAAAGTATGAATTTAGAAAGGATGGACAGAAAAGAGGAGAAACAAGATTTCTAACACAACCACCTCCAGTAGTTCCCCCTATTCAAGGCCCCACATGGATCCCTGACCCATGGATAGTAGTGAACCATATATATCTATGCACACTATGTTTTTGCCATTTGATAACCAAAATGGCTATTAAGTGACTGGTGTGCGGTAGCATACATAGTGTGGACACACGAGACAAAGGGATGGTTCATGTCCTTTTTTTCAGCAGCCCTCTATTATTGGACATTTAGATTATTTCCAGAATTTTGCTCTTAAAAGAGTACTGCTTTTGGGACCAGCAGTTAGTATAGTGGCTATGTTGCTGGACTCCCATGTATTCAACCGTGGTTCAAGTCCCGGACCCGGTGACTTAAACTCAATGCCAAGACGCGTGTGCGTGCATGCCCAAGATCCCGAGAGGAGAATGGAGGAGAAGGGATTGCAGCGCGGCCATCCCCCCGGGGGCGTGATTTCTCGCTTTCTATCTGTCTGTCTCTCTCTGTCTTTCTGGTGAGCGCACGTGCCTTATAGCAAAAAAAAAAAAAAAACTCTGGGGAAAAAAAAAGAGTACTGCTTTTTAACATTAGTGTAGCTTGATCTTTGATTACATTTATGCAGCCTTTTTATAAATAAATCGCAGGGTAAGAAGTTATGCACATTTTAAGGATTTGATGTGTGTATTACCTAAGTTCTTTCAGCTTATACTTGATTTAGTGACAGATTGGAGCAAGTTTGTTTTTGTCAGACTGGGTTTTGCCATTTGAAACAAAGTCAAAAAATGTGCAAGTCAAAAAACTCTCAAATTGATTGATGAATAATGATGTCTCATGATGTTTTAAAATTCTCATTTCTCTGGTCATTGATGAGATTTGGTTGCTGGACTCCCATGTATTCAACCGTGGTTCAAGTCCCGGACCCGGTGACTTAAACTCAATGCCAAGACGCGTGTGCGTGCATGCCCAAGATCCCGAGAGGAGAATGGAGGAGAAGGGATTGCAGCGCGGCCATCCCCCCGGGGGCGTGATTTCTCGCTTTCTATCTGTCTGTCTCTCTCTGTCTTTCTGGTGAGCGCACGTGCCTTATAGCAAAAAAAAAAAAAAAAACTCTGGGGAAAAAAAAAGAGTACTGCTTTTTAACATTAGTGTAGCTTGATCTTTGATTACATTTATGCAGCCTTTTTATAAATAAATCGCAGGGTAAGAAGTTATGCACATTTTAAGGATTTGATGTGTGTATTACCTAAGTTCTTTCAGCTTATACTTGATTTAGTGACAGATTGGAGCAAGTTTGTTTTTGTCAGACTGGGTTTTGCCATTTGAAACAAAGTCAAAAAATGTGCAAGTCAAAAAACTCTCAAATTGATTGATGAATAATGATGTCTCATGATGTTTTAAAATTCTCATTTCTCTGGTCATTGATGAGATTTGAACATTTGAAAATAGATTAATGGGTCGTCTGGTGGCATGGTGGTTAAGACGGCAGGATTCCATAAGGCCAGCTATGAAATTCAAGTCTCAGACCCAGTGGCTTGAGAAATATCCTTGGTATATGTGCATGCATGCCCAAAATTCTGAAAAGAGGGAGAGAAGGAGCAGATTGCAGTGTTACCATTCTCCATGGGGGTGCTTTGTCATTTTCCCTCTCTTTCTTATTCTGGCTCTGTCTAGTGAGTGTGTGTGCCTTCTGGCAAATTCAAAATTCTTTAAATAAAAATAAAATAGGGGCCAGCAAGTAAAAGTAGCTGGTGACTCAGGCACTGAACTCCCACATGGCCAACCGTATGTTGAGTCCCAGACCCAGCAGCTTGAAAATCACACCAGGCATGTGTACGTGCATACCCAAAATCCCAGGAGAAGAAGGAGTTGCAGCCTGGTAATCTTCCCTTGGAGGTGACTTCTCATTTTCCCTCTTTTTGTCTTCTCTAGCCACCACATGTGCCCATTACAAAAATAATAATAAAATAAATAAATAAAATTATGTAAATAAATAAAATGTTTTAGGAAAAGAGACAGGTTATAACATTATTTTTAGTAAAGAATGGCTTTGATTATGTTCACATTTGATTTTGAACATTAGTAGCAATAAAAGCTTTGTATCAATAAGAGTTAATAGACTCTAATCCTACTTTCTTCTTTGACATTATAGTTATATCATGGGTTTAGAACACATGCCATTTTAAAAAAATAATATGTGCTCATTTTGTTCTATCCCTCTGTCTTCCTGCCCTTCCATTCCTGTGCACACAAAGAAGAAGGCCTCAAGTGATTCGGCTCGGCCAATTCTCCTACAAGTTGCAGAGTCGGCCTACAGGTTTGGTCTGGGTTCTATTGCTGGAGGTTAGTCATGGATACGTGCCATGTTTTCATTTTCACTATTTCTCTTATCTTTTCTGACTTTCCTTCTTGAAATGTTAAAGGACAAAGTCTCTTCTGGGCTTTCTCCAAGCTAGTACGTAAGAGGTGGGAATAAGAGCCAAGGGGACTTTTTCCTAGATTTCCATCATGTCATCAGAGACTTAAAAGTGGCAATTTTTTGCTTACCTGCAGGTAGGCAGATTAATAATAAGGTTAGGCCATAATGATGTGCTTTTAAATTAAACCATCTATAGCATTCATTTATCAGGAGGTATTTGAATGAAAATCCACTAGTGTTTATTAAGAGTATAAAAAGAAAGTGCTGTTTTAAAATCTGTACATATAAAATTTATTTCTTTTCTTTTAACACCTCCTCCTTTACTCTGACTGACCTGACTTCCTTCTGAAATATTGGTATTTTTTTCATTTTAGCTGTTGGGGCCACTGCTGTGTATCCAATCGATCTTGTAAAAACTCGAATGCAAAACCAACGATCAACTGGCTCTTTTGTGGGAGAACTCATGTATAAAAACAGTTTTGACTGTTTTAAGAAAGTGCTGCGCTATGAAGGCTTCTTCGGACTGTATAGAGGTTAGTGCTGTGTGCTAAAATTCATGTAAAGTGAGCTAAATTCTCCTCTCAGAGCCTGAAATGAATTAGACTGCGTTAAAATGGAAATACAGCAGATTCTCAATTATCCATGCTAATGGGAGTAGGCTGGAGGCATCTAGGGCATAGCTAATCAAAACAGCCCACACTCTGAAAGCCATTTATGTAGCTCCGTTGTGTGTTTTATTTCTTAAAATAATAAATTATTTTTATAGGCATCTTCAGTGAGTTTTTAAATGGCTCATCTTGTTTATGGTCTTGAAGTTCTCACTCACTGGTCAC